CACGAACATTTCTAAACACTGCTATATAAAACTTTGTATTTATGAACTCTCATAGCCTAAATATAATAAAAAAAAAGAGTTTGGAATATTAGTTCCAAAAATACATAGTATTTTTTACTTGTAGAAAGCATAAGAACAAGTTGAGATAAAATCTTGCAACTTTCACTTACTAATTGCTTAGATCGCCAAAACACTTTCCGACTCTTCAAAACCTTCACTTCTCATCTAGTTTTTGAAACTACTGCATCCTACTGTATTCCTAGTGTAAAGAAGCTAAAAATACTACTCTCAAAAGAGGCGTGGATTTGGCCAGGTAAGTATCTTTATTAATTCGGGAGATGTGTAATCTAACTTTTATATTATAATAAATGCTGCATATATATATTATTTACAAATCTACTAAATCTAATGAATCTAACGATTCTACTAAATCTGCTATATCTAACAAATCTAACGATTCTACTAAATCTTCTATATCTATTAATCTACCCGATCTACTAATATTACCTAATTAATTATATATAACCTCTAAATAATTATGCAATCAATCCACTAACTTAAGCTTTATGTATTATCGATCTATTCTCAATCATTACACTAGTTAAAAAACAATAAAGCCAAAAATAAAATATCAACAACTCAAGTCGGTTGCTACGTTATGTATTACAAAAAAATTTTTTATATAGCATGATAATTTTTATTTATAAAAGTACTTTAAAAATTACAAATGCCTGTATAAAAAAAAAGATCATCGCCAATCAAAATTACTCTTATTTTAGCCAATCAAAACAAACTTCTGCTATGATAAGAATAGAAATTGAAATTTTATACTATCTGTAAAAAGATTCAATTAAACAAAAAAATAATACATAGTATAAAAACTTAACATGTAATACTATAATAGAAATAAGAATTTGAAATTTTTATTTAACATTTAATACATGTTTTATATATATATTTTATTTTATATATCTGTTTAGTTAAAATTACGTAGTTTATATGTATATTTTATTTTGTATATCTGTCTAGTTAGAATCTTAGATGGACTTTAAAAATTACGTGTTTACATGTATATTTTATTTTATAAATCCATCTAGTGTTACAAAGTTTACCAAACTAAAATGTATTTCTTTGACTTTACACTTGGCTAATACACATGATGGCTAAAGTATTATACCAGATACTACCACTAATAATATATTCATACAGATAAAACAGTTTATTCACTAAGAATAATTCAAGAGATATCAAGAACAAAAGTTAGACACTTCTCTTATTTGAATTGATACATTATATATTATTACTAATTACTAATACATATTAATGGATTTGTGAAATTTGATAAATAGAAAAACCTATTAGCTGTAACTCTGATCAATTTTACAAATCATTTGGCTAGCTTTGAAGTTAAATAATTTCAAACCAGGCCAAATAATCTGCAAATTTAACCAGAGTTATGGCAAATTTCACAAATTCGCCAATATGGATTGCTACTTTATGCAATCACTATTTTAGACTTAATTAAATCATTGATAACTTGATATATTATATATTAATATGTATTTATATAGATAAAACAGTATATTCACTAAGAATAATTCAAAGAGATATCAGCAATTAGGCTAAAAGAATCATGCCATTCAATATCCCAAAGTTAGGCACTTCCTCTATTTGAATTGATGCTTTATATATTATTACTAATTGCTAATCATCAAGAAACTAAATATGATTTAGATTTGCAATCCTAAAAATTTTTAACAAATTTCACAATATCTCATGATCTATCAATCAGAACTTAGCGAATCCAGTACAATTCGAACCATCTCAATGAGATGAATTAAAAAGTACTAAATTCATTAAATTTTGACCACTAGATAACAAGAAAATCACATTTAAATGAATTTTGTAGCTATCTCACGATCTTGTTAACTAGTGGTCCAAATTTAATGATTTTGGTACCATTTGATTTCTCTCGATAAGACAGTTTGAATCATATTAATAACATTAAAATCAAATTACTAGTTTACAAGATATTCGCAGAATACATTTTACAGTACAGTTTTGCACAAATTTGCAAATTTTTTTTATACAGATCTGTGCAAAACTGTCTTGAAAGTATTTTGCAAATATCTCATAAACCAGTGGTTCGATTTTAACATTTTTTGTATGATTTGAATCATCTTATTGAGAGGAATCAAATGGTACCAAAATCATTAAATTTGGACCACTAGTTAACAAGATTATAAGATAGCTGCAAAATTTATTTAAATACAATTTTTTGTGATCTAGTAATCAAAATTTAATGAATATACAGTCAGACCTCCCTAAATACATGTTGTTGAGACCAGCTATAGAGCGTATATTTAGAGAAAGCTGCAATTAAAGAGCACTAATAAAATTACAATGTGACTATTATCAAGTGATAAATGTAGCTTTAGTGGCCTATAAATGATGAATTTTATTGGTCTATAATCACGTGGATGCATTTATGAAGGGAGTTTTTATAAGTGGGCCAAAAAATTAGCATGCACTTACAGAATAAAAAATGTGCATTTATCTATAAGTCCCACCATGGGCCCGGACTTATATCATACATTTAGAGAGGTGCTGAATTTAGGGAGAGTGCATTTAGGGGGTCTGACTGTAGTACCATTTGATCTATCTCATCAAGATAGTTCAAATGGTACTAAATTCATTAGGTTTTGATCGATAGATTATAAGATATTGTAAAGTTTGTTAAAAATTTTCAGAGTCACAGATTTGCACCATATTTAGTTTTCTAATAATGATTACTACTGCTATTCATACAATTACTATTTTAAACTTTTAATTAAATTGTGATTACCTGATATATCTGATAATATAAAACAGTTTATTTAATAAAAATAATTTAAAGAGATATCAAGAACCAAAGTTAGAAGCTTTATATATTATTGCTAATCACTAATAATTACTACTGCTATTTATACAATTACTATTTTAGACTTTTAATTAAATCATGATAACCCGATATATCTAATATTATAAAATAGTTTATTCAATAAGAATAATTCAAAGAGATATTGGAAACCAAAATTAGACACTTTTCCTATTTGGATCAATACCTTATATATTATTATTAATCTCCTGTCACATTAAGTATTACTTATGACCAGTGTTGAAAATTAATATATGGAAGGGGCAGAACACACGTCAAAAAAATTTTCTGTACCTTAAAAATCAACAATATGTGCACAAAGCACTTGTAGGTTTTAAAATTCTGAGCAGAATATGTACATTAAAATTTTTAAATTCATATTTGTAATAAGCTTTGATGTATACTATATTTTTTATATAACTAACTTATGTTTAATTAATATTAATAATCGAAATAAAACATATTGAATTAAATTATATCTTTAATTTTTATTGATATCAAACTTATATTGATTTATAAAATGGATAAATTTGTTATATGACATCCAAAAGGGCTAGTTAAATATTAATAAATTAAATTGCATTGCATAAATAAATAAATAAAGATCTATTTTAGCACTATCTGCTGTTATCTTATAAATTAATTGTGTGATATATATATATATTTAGGCTATTTGTTTTGTGTATGTTTAAAAAAAACTTATGTGCACTGTAGTGCACCAAGATAAATATGTAATGTGTGGCCTGCTTACAACCCTAATGCTGAATTTTTAATACTGCTTATGACTACCTTTATCATTATTTTTTGCATGTGATTAACTATATTTATAATAATCATATTGTAACCGGGAATCTTTACACAAAAGATTTTCAGTCTCATATTGATTATTGGGAAACTCTAATTTTTACTGCTTGATTATTTTCTTTTTTGTATTTTTTATGTTTTATCTAAAGAACTTTAAAAGCCAAAGTAGATAAGCAAGTAAAATAAAGCTAAAAAAAGATACAATAAGAGTAGAGTAAAAGTAAGAGTTTGAAAAAAGGCAAAGTAAAAGTAAGAGTTTAAAAAAATATATATATAAAAGTAAAAGCAAAAACAATAAAAAGATAAAAACAATAAAAATGATGTAAAAATAAAATAAAAATAAAATGAAGTCTATAAGTTAGTAAAGCACAATATGAATATAAATATGGAACATGTGTAAAAATAATGGTATAGTAGTCCAATTAACATCTAGTGACGCTCCTAGAAATTATTTATTTATTTCATATGGGGAAATTATAACAGAGATTACCAATGATCATAGTACGTGGATGGCCCTTTGGGCCATCCATGTACTATGATAATTGGTAACCTCTGTTATAACTTTTACTCCTCTATGAAATAAATAATACTAATTGCTAAAATTACTACTGCTATTCATGCAATTGCTATTTTAGACTTTTAATTAAATTGTAATCACTTGATATATTATATTTATACAGATAAATCAGTATATTTATTAAGAATAATTCAAAGAGATATTGGGAACCAAAGTCAGGCATCTTCTCTATTTGTATTGATGCCTTATATATTATTACTTATTACTAATAATTATGACTGCTATATTGTTCATGCAGTCATTATTTTAGACTTTTAATTAAATCATAATCACCTGATATATTATATATTAATTAGATCATGACATTCAATTACCATGTTCAATTACCATATTCAATTACCATGTATCTGATCAGGTATTGCACAGCACTGCGACACTAATTATGGACTTTGAAAACTATGGTTTTATATATAGATTATTTCATTTTTCCAAAATTATTCATTTAATTCATTTTATTAGCAATGAACAACTTTCTCAAAAGTAAGTTTTAGTATAAATCTATTAACTTTTTTTTGTTTTCTTATATTTAATTTTTATTTGATTTTTTTTAGTAATTGTAAACAATTTTGAAGACTTCTTCAAAAGTTTTATTATTAATAATTGAAAATTTTTTGTTGAATACTCTAAAGGCTTATATCCAATGGATTGGATAGATTTAGAAAATAATGTAGCAAGAAATATAGTGTTGAGGCACAAAGAAAAATGAATGCCAATGAAATTAAAGACAAAGTATATAATTAATTAGCAATTAATTAATTAGCAAAGCTTAAGTGAAAAATTTTTTTACCAATAGATAAAATTCAAAAGAAGCAATAAAGAATTAAAAAACTTTTGAAGTTCTAGAAAAGTGTAGTTTGGTAAATTTAAAATTAGTAATATAGATAACATTTAATATTAATTTTTTTTTTCTAGAAAGCAGATATTGTAAAATTTAGTGAAGACAGAGAAAGAATATTAGAAAGTTCTGAAAAAATTCTTAATATAACAAATAAATTAATATCTTTTATAGTACACTTATTTTAATATACTGTGGCGAATTTATAAAACTAGAACATTTTGACTTACTATGAAATGCATCATTTACTATTTGGTTTTTAATATTTTTTATTGTAAATTCATATAGATTATGTCTAATCCATAAAAGATGGGTTAGCATTATCTATATGATTTTACAATAAAAAGAAAAATAGTAAATAGCATATTTCATAGTAGGTCAAAATCTTCTTATTTTATAAGTTTGTCGTATAATAATACTCATAAGCATTATTTCAAATAATGGCCTGAATTAAATTTAATTTAGACCAAAATTTGAAATTACACCTTGTTTATTATTACATGAAAATGATTCTATATTATTTTAAAAATATAGTCCAATTAGAAGATCCGGTAGAAACAAATAGTGAAAATGAAACTAATGAAAATTGTAAGTATATAAAATTTTTTAATTTTAATTTACAAAAAAATATATATATAAGTTATATACTTATTATTTTGATTCTATTCTTCAATAATACAAGACATTGATTCAGATAACAATTCAGATACAAATAATACTAGCGAAAATAATGATAATACTGATAAAAATAGTATATATTTAATATATATATAAACTATGTATCCTTATTTAAAAATATAGCATAATACAAGGTGTGGATCCAGTTAACAATTTGGAAATTAATACTGACAAAAATAGTAAGTAAATTTGTATAATTGATTCAAATTATTACATATGTGTGTTCTTAAATAACATACGGAGGCTTGAAATAACATGCATATATAGTATTATTATTATTTTTTTAATTTATTTGATAAATACAGTTGCTAGTACTTCATATTGTAAGTAAATTTTTATATATATTTCGATTAGAGATAGGAAAAATGCACATTTTAAAACAATATACATATGAATACGCATTAATGTGCATGTTATATAAAATGCACATGATATCACATGATATAATTTATATTTTTCTTCTAGAAAATATCGATATTTGCCAAAGTTTTTTCCCAGACTCTTCTCATCATTATATTCATTCATTTTCTTTTCAGAATTTTTCAAAACTTCTGCATTCCTACTTCTTAATTTTGTCTAGCATTATACACCTTGGCCTAAATTAAATATACTTTAATTTTCCTATATAAAATTTAGATGAGATAAAATGCGCATGATTCCGAATCATGCATATGAATGTATATTAATGCATATGATTGAGGAATCATACACACACATAAACCCCATCTCAAATTTTGATATTTTATATTTGATATATATAACTATAAAAATTATTATTATAGAATGTTCAGAGTCTGTAACAAGACAGAGATGAAAATGGTGAAAAGATTCTAGCTATCGACTATATATAAAGAACTTTAATTTTTAAAAATAAAAAAAGCAAACCAAGTTTACTAAAATATACTTTATTTATTACCATATACAAATTATTTCATTTGCATTGATAATTTCATTTAACTCAAAATAAAAGGTGTTATTCTGTTAAATTAAAAAATGAGTATTATTCTGTAAATTAAAAAAAAATAGTGATCTTTATGAAGTACCAATAAGTTAAGTAAATAGTTATGACTTTTAGCTTATTAGTAATATTTTTTCTTATGCTTTAACAAATATCTTTACCAAGAAAATTACCTAAAATAATATCAAGAAGTATTATTCAAGTGTTTTAACTGCTGCCATATAGGGTTGGGACCCCGTGGCCTAGTGGTCTAGGCACCCAACCCTCCATGAGCGGGTTTTGGGTTCAAGTCCTAGTAGGTAAGTTTACCTACGAATATTTGGAAGTATTTGCCGTGGGAAGTCCAAGTGAATACAGGTCTGGATTAGGAATTTCCGGAAGGAGGTCCATTGTGGAGTAGTTGGCAC